TGGTTAATTTATTTATTAGCCCATAAACAATTACATACATATATATATTAGCCTTCAAAGCATATAAGAATAATTTTAACTAGTCATGCCCTCCATATAAAAGTTAAAGATTCATATTTCAAAAGCTAAAATTATGAAAAACCAAAAAATTGAAAACATCAAATTTGTTTCCTTCTTTCTTTTCACAAAAATACTAAAATTTCCCTCCTTCTTTCTACTTCCATACATTAGAAAACTTAATTTTCCCTCCTCTTTCTCTTCCATAAAATTGAAAGAACCAACCTACCCTCTTCTTTCCTTCTACAAAAAGTTGAAAACTCAAAAGTTTCCCTCCTTATTTCTCTTTCATAATCAATAGAATCAAATTTTCCCACTTCTTTCTCTTCCCACATATCAAAACCACCAAAATTCCCACTTGTTTCTTTTCTAAAAAATTCAAAGAACCAAATTTCCCTCTTCTTTCTCTTCCCAAAAACTTGAATACACCAAAATTTCCCTCTTCATTTAAAAACATCAAATTACCAAATACATTACTTTACTTTATTTATATTTAATTGAATAGTTAAATTAATCAGAATTTTAATTTATATATTATATTAATATTGTCATGATCTCAAGTGACCTTCATGTTTCAATTTTTGTAATTTTCTTAAAATACGTAATATCAAGTGAGTTTCATATTTTTTAAATTTCCTATACGAAATGAAAAAATAATTTTACTTAAGTTTAGAATGAAAAACTTTATTTTGAAAAACTATGTATTGTATCATTTCATAATTATTCAAGTGGATTAGATGAAATTCGGGTTGAGTCGGTCGGGTTACGGGTTAGTCAGGTCCGGGTCAATCGAGTTCGGGTTAATCGGGTTGCGGGTCAGTCGGGTTGCGGGTCAATCGGGTTCGGGTTAATCGGGTTGCGGGTCAGTCGGGTTGCGGGTTAGTTGGGTTGCGGGTCAATCGGATTGCGGGTCGGGCGGGTTACGGGTTGTTGACTTTTAGTCAATTCGGGTTGCGGTCGGGTTGCGGGTCGGATTGATCGGGTCGGGCTATATTTTGACACCTATAATCACATGTAGCAGTGAAAAACTGGAAGAGTTAGAAGAAGACAAATCACCTATCAACAAAATAGAATTCCTTTGACAATCATATTTCTATTAATCCCGACATAGATAAAAAAATGGATATAATTTCTATAAAGAGCTAAAAATCCCAAGTGAACTAAACAGAGGTAGTTTTTTTCACCAAAAAAAAAACAAAATACAAAAAACAAAATGAAAAGTTGTGGGTTTACGTTTGGTTTGGTCCAGTACATTGTGGAGGAGAACTAAGATAATAAAGTCCAAAAAGTAGTTAAAGCAAAAATGAAATTGTTGTGGATCAAACTTGTTTGCTTCAGGCAAAAAAATTAGTTAGCTACCAGTAGACTACATGACTGATTCATGACACAATGTATAGACTAAGTACTACTTATTCAAACTTTATCTAAATATCCTTACGTTCCTATGGGCTGAAACTATTCCCGGGTGGGCCGGGCCCCACCCTACTCTCTAAGTATCTCCGCCCCTCGTACTACCATACTTTTCTTGTTTTTGTGGAATTTGGTGAGAGACGGAGCTCGCTTTGTTGTTCTCTAATTAACTCGTTGTGGACTCAACTGCTCTTTGCCTCTTTGGCCATGCATGCATGAAATTCATGTGCTGGTATCGTCGGCCGACTCTCCAAATGGGCTTTCCTTGCGTACTCCTGGACTTGGTATTTACCTATATGGACTACTGCTTGGTCCGGACCGTATCACGATACTGGGCCTGCGTGTTCACTGTCGGGCTTGACTTTGAGAGTATTTGGAGTACTAAGAGTCTAAGACCGGTCAAGTGGTATATGATCTTGTAAAACACTAGCAACATCACACAGTGGCGGAGCTAGCATTTCAAACCATACTTGTCCTCTTTTCATAATATAAATATATAAATATTTAATTAAAAATTATTTAATAAATAATAATTATATGTGTATAATTCATTCATAGATTAAAAATAACCGACTATATAATCATTGTTTTTATAAACAACCACGAAGAGATTTCATATTGTGAAAGAAACGCAAAAACATTCGTCCTCTACACTATTAAATAAGTTTTTCAATGTATCTCACTAAATTAGCATTGGAAAATGGTCGCCAAATCGACTTGGAAACTTGTTCTTAATATAACTCAAAGCTGAAAATGCTCTTTTTACATTTGCAGTTGTAATTCGTAGAATCAAAACTAGTGCAATTGCCGCTGTCGCTAGACAATTTCAGGGTTGTTGGGAAAAATCGAATAGGCATAAGGAGAAAAGAGATCTTATTAGGTCTTTATTGCAAATTTGCAATTAGAATTCATTTATAGTATAATAAATTAATTTTATGTCAATTTATGAATAAGTTTTTTTTTTATAAAAGGAGGCCGAGGCCAAGCAACCAGAATTACATAGGATGAGTAGAGGAGAAGTGGGAAGTAGATCAAGTAGGAATCCGTCGCTCAAAGGTTATCCCCATAACATCTTCATGAAGCAGGATCCCTAAGCCTGGGGGCGGGTTTGCAAGCTCATGCATACCGTAGTGGTAGACGAGACTGTGCTTCGAGAGCCAGTCCGCGACTCTATTCCCTTCTCGATATGTATGAGTTATGCTCACCAACCAGTCTTGGCTTAGCTTCCTACGGATCGCAGCAAGCAAAGTCACATGCGGATGCACTTGATCAAATCTATTGTTGTTGATGCCAAGCTCCAAGGAGCCTGCTTCAATGTGATTGAGGTCCGGTGAGCGCCGATCTTCCTCCTGGCCAACGTCCGCCAACAGACTCCGAGATGGACACCTACAAAAAAGGATCCGCCGACGGTGGTCGGCGGGGACCTGCTCAGAAGCTCAAGTTAGTATTGAGAGGAGAATAACCGGGAGCGGCGTATTGAGCCGGCTCTAGAGAGAGTTTTCCAAGTTCAAATCGAGAATCCACCGCACAGAAAGCATAAATGAGCGTCCTATTTATAGGTGCCTCCTGCTTCTGGCGTAGATGGCGTGTAAATAATAAAATAATATAAAAAATTCTTTCATCTCACCACTAACATAATGTGCAATGAATGGCGGGTAAAGAAAGAAACACACATTTACCTACCTTGTGCCTTTCACGTCCAGGTGTAAGAGTGAAGTGGATGATGGTAAACAAAGACATTTCCATCTTCCATGTAAAAATGAGTTGGCCATTTGTACGTGGCATTAGAGGGAGATGAGAGGTTGTGGTTGTTTGAGGACACAACCCTTTCCTCTTTTTAAATCCACGTGGAGGGAATTGGAGTCTGGAGACTTTGTCTTGTGGAAGGCTTATCACCCAATCAACCATGGATGGATAGTAAAATATAAAGACAAAGACACTCACCTTTTCTCCCTTTATGCGTGTGGGTTAATGGGTAAAACTTACAGAAGAAATCAATAGGGAGCAAGTCCATGAGTAATGACTAGCCTAGCTTGCATCCACGTGTCACATGGGATATGGTATGCTAATTGTGTTTTTATTAGTAATTACTCTGATAGAAACGACGTATTGTATCATGTCAGTGAATACTGGGTCCATCAATTGTTAATAAGCTGAATCGCCAACTGAGAATCGGACTCAACCCGAAGGGCCCGACAACCTTTCCTCCAAGCCAGGTCCAGTCCATAAAAGATAGCCCATACCTCTGCTAGAGCTGCAGTCTTTGTCCCGATGTTCGCCACGAAGCCAGTAATCCACTGACCCATACTATCTCGCACAGCTCCACCACATCTCGCTTGCCCTGGGTTCCCGCATGAGGCTCCATCAACATTGAGTTTCCACCAGCCCGTGGGTGGCGGCTTCCACCCAATCTTCGCGGCAATCCGATGAAGAGGCTGCTGCTTAAGGTTCGGCAGAATTGGAGGTGCCACCCAAGCTTCATACCACAACTTGGCCTTGGCATCGATAGAATGTGAGAGCGAGGCCGGCGTAAGAGCTCCACTAATCCCCTTGAAGCTGGCCGTACACCTATTCTTCCATATTAACCAGACCGCTACACTGAAGAAGGCTGCCCACGACATACCTGTAGCACAAGAATCATCGCACATGACATTGTCCTTCAGCCAATCATCTTGGGTGGAGCCGAAGAACATAGCCTGCTTAGCTGTAGGGACATGCCGAGTCCAAAAGAAAAGAGACGGAGGGCAATCTCTAAGGATATGGACAATAGTTTCTGGCTGTCCAAGACACCTCAAGCAGCTCGAATTAGTGATTAACTTCCTGTGAAAACGAAGAGAATTAGTGGCAATATTGCCCAAAGAAACCAGCCACATGAAATTCCTGACCCTCTCAGGGACGGGAAGATTCCAGATAGCCTTCCAGTGCCTCTCCTCTGGTCCATGCAGATCTAGACTAAGAAGTTTATATGCTGACTAGGCCGAAAAATTCCCATCCGAAGAGGCTGCCCAGCAGATCGTGTCCTGCTCACTGGCGAGGCTATCCACCGCTGTGCTTAGGATCTTTTGCTGCACATCAAGGGGTAGGAGTTCCTCAAACATATCAACTCGCCATCTTCCATCCTGAGTCACGAAGTCAGCAATCACCATTTGCTCCAAATTCGGAGGAATTGTTTGAGGACACAACCCTGGGGGTGCGGTCTGCAAAACCGCTCCCTACCAGTGCGGTTTTCATTGAAAAACGCTCCCTCGGGTGGCGTTTTCATCGAAAAACGCACCTCCGGGTGGCGGTTTTACAAAAATGGTGCTATTTTTGGAATTTTTCTGAGTTGGGTGTTATTTTTGGAAAAAAAAATTAAACAGTGCTATTTTTGGAAAAATCTCGGCTAAAACCATACCCGCCATAACTATCAAACTTTTTGCGGGTTTTACCCATACCCGGTCAAAGCGGGGATTCCCCGCGTTGACTGGGTCGGGGGCGGTCGGATACCCGCGACCATGGGTTTGATTGCCATCCCTAAATCAGAGGCATGACTATTAACCTTCCCTGGTTTTGCTTACTACAGAGAGCTCAAGGTAACAATTGCAGTTAATTTGTTTGCAGTGATTCATGCCTTTCGATTTTTAATGAGTAATGAGAATTAGAATCGATCTCAATGATGGTTTTCATCTGTTAGGCACGCAAGAAAGTGGTGGATGTGCTGCAATCGATCCTAGACCAGCGCAGAAATAGAGTCAAACACGAAGATGATAGTGGGAAGCAGCAGTTGGGAAAGAATAAGAAGGTGAACATGATGGATGAATTGATGGGCGTGGAAGATGAGAATGGCCGGAAGCTTAGAGATGAAGAGATCATCAATGTTCTGTTGATGTATTTGAATGCTGGCCATGAATCCTCTGCTCATGTCACCATATGGGCAACTGTGTTACTCCATCAGCACCCTGATTGCCTTTGCAATGCCAGGGTATGGACCATATTTCTCTATATTTAGTTTGGATTCGGTATTCAGATTATACCCTTCTTGCTTATACGACAGGCTACATGCTTAATTAGGAGGAGTCAGAGGAAGTCGTAAGGCGAAGGCCAGCTCATCAAAAAGGTGTATTGACACTCAAGGAAATACGCCAAATGGATTACCTATCTAAGGTTGTTTTTCTTTTGCTGCCAATCCCCATATCAAGTATTTTCCTTTAACAGCTTGCTAGTTAGTTATATACAGTTGCAAAAGTTGTATAATTTGTGTTCGTGTGTATGTGTTCTGCAGGTGATAGATGAGACACTAAGATTTATAACATTCTCACTCGTTGTATTTAGAGAAGCGAAAACAGACGTAGATATGTGCGATGAGTCTATTGATGGGTCAAATTAATCTTTGATCAATCTCCATAACGTCGTATTTGAACAAATCATTGGGTGCTTGAGAAAATGTCACTCGTTTTTTTCGTACTCTCTCAGGTTATACGATTCCCAAGGGTTGGAGGGCACTAGTTTGGTTTTGGGGTGTGCGTTTGGACCCAGAGGTATACCCAAATCCAAGAGCATTTGACCCTTCCAGATGGGATATAAGTTCATAATCCCATATTAACATGATGAAAAGCACATTTGTCACACCTGAGATGTAGTGCAGGGCGAATAGAATTACGTATTCACACTAATTGAAGTTTCTCAAATGCAGAATATGACGCCAAAGGCGGGTACTTTCCTTCCATTTGGAGCAGGAAGCCATATGTGCCCTGGAAATGATCTTGCCAAGATCGAAATCGCTGCTTTTTTACACTATTTCCTCGTCGGCTATGAGTGAGTAGTGCAACTTGCAACATATCCCTCATCTAAGTGTTTACTTGATCCCAATAGTAACTGTTCTAATTCGTGATTTAGAGATTTGGATGATTTTCGGATTATTGTTGCAGGTCGGAACTCATGAATCCAGAGTGTCCAATGCAGTACTTGCCTCACCCGCGACCGAAAGACAACTGTTTGGCTCGTATAAAAAAGATATCACAACATGGGTAGTCATCCTTCTTCTCTTGTTCATCGTCACCTTCTACTTCTTTAAGAGGGGGAAAGAAGCACATTACACAGGTGTATGTGTGTCATGTTATCTTGTGGTGCGGTTGATGTTGCTAGGCTATTCTGTTTGTGAAAAGGAAATTTAGTAGGAGTGTAAGAGGGGTTCACTGCTGGAAAAGCTCACGGGTATCAATATGTATTATGTACCAATGATTACTCGTAGTAAATAAACAACTTTGTGTACCTTGGAAGCTCAAAAAGAAAAAGGTTAATATTTTCATATGGCCTGAACTTTGACCAAAATAAACATCCTGGCCAATCTTTTCGATCTATAACATCCTGGCCCGAACTATACACCAAAATAAACAATTTGGCCAAACCCGATGTTTGACCGTTAACTTGGACGGTCAAATGCGTTTACTAACGGTCAACGCGCCACGTCTCTGCCAAGTCAGAAGATCAGATAAATGTTTAATTTTTTCGTTTTTCGTTTTTGTTTTAACTAAGGTATTAGATGATTTTTTTTTAATTTATAATAATTTAAAATTAGAAAATGTGTGAAAATTGTGAATTATTTTAAATATTTTATGCTGACTTGGCAGTGACATGGCACGTTGACTAACGGTCAACACGTTTGACCGTCCAAGTTAACGGTCAAAAGTAGGATCTAGCCAAATTTTTTTATTGTGGTGTATAGTTCGGGCCAGAATGTTATAAATCGAAAAGATTGACCAGGATGTTTATTTTGGTCAAAGTTCAGACCATACGAAAATAATAACACAAAGAAAAAGTACATTTGGAGCCCAGATTAAAAATGATTGAAAGCTCATATGTTACTGTGCCATGAGTTGAGTAGGTAGAAATTAGATTGGAGCTCGTGGTAGTTCAATTCATTTCCTGTTCAAGGAGCATTAAACCTTGACATCTCGCTAATAACCTGATCAGTTCGATGCCAGGAAAGATTTCATAAACCTCGACGAAAAGCACAACCGCACCAACTCATTGTAATACATGATCACCAATGAAAGCCTGATTGATTGATTACATATCAATAAGGCTCATGTACAAGCTCTCTTCTAATTTGGTCTCACATATATATCAAAACTTTCAGACACAAGGCGGCTAAAGAACCAACCACACAACCGCATGTATAACCCTCCAAATGGATTCTATGCCTTTGGTTTTACCAGCCACCAAAGTTCTTCTGAACTTTGGAGCTCTGAGAGGATCTACCGCCCTTGTCTTTGTATAAATTTCTGGAGGAGATTCGACTTTGCCTCCCACGGGCTGCTGCTATTGCTCGCTTCTTGTGCTTGTTCAGCCTCTTGGTCAGCTCTGCATCACTCTCTGTTGCATTCTCGTCGTCTTCGTCTTCGTCTTCGTCTTCCTGGAATGGCCCAAACCCCCCAAAAATTAAGATGATCGTTTCAGGCAAAATTTAAGGTCAGCCAACTGTGATCTAACTAAATACATATAAGACATTGACAATGTAACTGTAACATACAATCAAGTGTTTTCACCACTACTATAGAAACTTGATACTACAGGCCAGATGAATTCAAACCTCATAATCATCATCTTTTGCTACAAGGCCATCGCTTTGTGCCTTTTCACTCAATTGATTCGCAACAACTTTTACCTCCTCTTCATTTGTTTGCTCTTCCTGAATGGTATATTTACCGATAAGCACCATATATGATTTTATTGTACAAAAAGAGAAAGTCAATCTAATAATTGAGGGAAAGGAACCTGATCTTCTATCTGCAGAGAATCTAAGTTTGTGATGTTGGTTTCATTCGTCTCTGAAACATGCTCTTCACCCTCATCTTCCTCGCTGTCAGCATCTCCTTCAATGAACTGCAACGTTTACATTACAGTGAATGTAATGATGCACGATTACATGTGAAGCACATGAATTCCACCACAATACCACAATATAAATTTACAAGTGAGTAAATTTTGACGTCATATTGTGGAAAGGAACTAAAAAATAATCCAATAGCGTCAAGGAAAAAAAAAACTGAAATCGAACACTTATCCTACGAACGAAAGCATTCTGAATTCAGCACATGCGGAAATTTTAAACACACCTAACAACAGGTGGAAAGATAAAAGCTCTACCAAACAAGATGACGAACAAAAGATTCCAAGCACAACTTCATTGAAATACAAAAGAAACTAACTTGTTAATCCACAGACTGATTGAAATGGATAGGAGATCAAGAACCAAGAATGTAACTTTTTTACTTTGAAAAACACCTTACCCATACCTTCTCCATATCATCTTGATCCTTCCGTGTGAATCCACTAGCAGCAAGTTCCTTATCGAGAAAACCAGAAGACTTAGAAATCGAGGAAAACGAAGGTCTGCCAGCTTCATCAGTTTCTGCCTGTGCAGAATTGTTATCATCTGCATCGTCCTGAAAAGAGAGGTTGTACCTACAGAAGGAAACGCTGGTTAGAAGATCCCTAGATAGAGAGCACATATGATTCGAGTCAGTCGACATCTAGGTACGAGCCAGACAAACGTGGTAAAAGTTCACTAGTAGTACCCCAAATGAATATATGATACTTCAACCGACTCAAATATTAAATAACACTAGAGATAGGGAGGCAAGTTTTAAACAAATGATAGAAGGGGAAAGGAATCAAAGTTCTTCCTGAGAGGATGTAGCAAAACAGTCACAATCCTACATGAAGGTCTTTCCAAGCTTCAATGTTGAAATATTAAAGAAATAACGGTCGCCTTTTGAATATGCTTGAATAAAAAATTAGACTGACCTCTTGGCAAAGAACTTATAGATGCATCCAACATCACGGTCGAAGAACCTGCAGAACATTTAAGAAAGGAGTATATTTGACACTGAAGAGAACTAAAAAAAACATCATCAAACAAGGAGAAAGAAAGCAATAACTTACATTTGGGCGTTCCGATGAGACACGGATACCATCTGAGGAAAATCAATCATGGTCACCTTCTCATCGTCATCAATCTACAAATGACACATTAGGATGGTTCAATGGTAGCTATTTGAAAAGTAAGACATGTACGCTTACTTATGCCTAGACCCATACAACATACCATAATATTAAATTCATTGAAGTCACAATGAATGAGCCCGTGTTCTGCCAAACGAACGATAAGACCAAGAACTGTTTCAAAGACAACTTCTGGATTTTGCAATTGCCTCACTTGCACACTGCAACAAAGCAAACAACCAAAAGCATATAACACTATTCCTGATTCTAGAGCTGCAGATAATGCATAAACAACAGCAGTACTTACAGTGAATAACCTTGAACAAGGGACATAATCACACAGTGTCTATTACAATCCACAGCTTTAGGAACAGGAAAACCATGATCTTCCAGAGCCTGTTCCAGCAATAAAAACTTGTCAGAGGCAATATAACAAAAGAACAACCGAAGTCTGCACCATGACATCTCCCAACCTTCATAAAAGCAAACTCCTTGAGTGCAGCGAGTCGAGACAAATAGAGCCAGCTAAAACTACTTCTGTGTCTCAGGTAATCACGCTTAGATTTCACAGCCCTAAAAGAAGTTCTACCAAGTCTGTGCAACTTCATAGCCAAAACTGTACCATCCTCTGTAGCCACTTCAAATATATCTGTGCCAGGCGAAGTTCATACAAAATTTCAACAAGATATCCTGATTGTACAATTGAAATTAAGCTAAAATGGAACAAAAAATCATTTCTTTCCACCATAAAGTCACTGAAACAAACCATTTCATAACTTACCAGACTCTTTTCCAACCCCAATTTGACGGCCAACAGACACAATGACTCCTCGATTGACCAAAGTTCTAATTGCAAGGAAATCATATCCAAGATAGGTAAGCCGGAACCCATCATCTACAGTCATATTAGCATAGTAAGTATATTTATGAACCCAAATAAACATCCAATAAAGAACCACAAGGACTAAAGCTCACATTTAGAGGAGTCATGGTGCACTAATTTATGCTTGAGCAAGTTCTTCAATACTTTATAAGTGCCCCCATGCCTGCATTATGATCATTTTTCAGCAAAAAAAGGAATGCAGCCCATTAAATTAGATTCAAAATTTGAAAGGGCGGATAACAAGAGGGCCATGAAGAAAACTTACTTAAGAGAAGCTATTCGAGAAATCAATTCTGCAGGGACAATCTCATGCTGTCGCATAAAATACAGAGGGAAAACTTAAAACCAACCAAATTACATGATGAACTGAACTAAACTAAACAGATACCCAGAAGATGATGATACAATACATACGTTCCTCATGCCCATCTCTACAGCAGTAAGAACTCTGAAATCATCCTTCGAGAGGTATCTCAAAACCTCCACGTCCAATTTCATCGCCCTAGTTGCTAGCTGCAAAAAAAGCAACGAGCGAAGAAGGAACTCAAATCAATGATGGATGGTTGGGATTTTGTGTGAGATTTGCCATTCTCGATTCCATGCCAATCAAACATTGAAATCAAAAGAAACATTTGATATTAATACCATCAAAAAAAAAAAAAAACATTTGATATTAAAAATACACATCACGATTCCATGCCAATCAGTCCTGAAATCACCTATCTCATATTGAATTAGAAGGGATCTTGACATTCTCGACCAATAGGGATCTTGCCATTCAATAATAGAAGAAACAAACAACCGAGAATCAAAATATACCTATGTTGCGTCGAGCAGGGCAATGGGAGATGGGAATTGTCCAGTGGCCGAGCAGGGCAGTGGGAGGAGGTGGCGCCAGCCGGAGCAGGAGCAGGCGCCGGGAGTACAGACGCCGGTCGGAGCAGGGAAGCGGGGTTCGCCGGGAGTTTGCTTGGCGTAGAGAGGTTGACCTGGGTTCGTCGGGGGTTCGCTGGCCAAATCAACGACGACCTAGCCAGATAGACGAGCGGGGAGCGGCTATGGGGACTGGCGATGGCGACGGGAAGCGGGGAGCGGGAGTGGTGATGGCGACAGGGACTCTCGGAGTGAAGAGGGCAAGCGGCGCTCTCCTCTCTCTGTTCAGTTTGCAAGAAAGACGAAGGAGATGAGAATTAGAGTTAGGGTTTTTTTCCCGATGTTTTATCCCCTTTCATAATTCAATTTTTTTTAATTAAACCATCGTAAACCAAAGGCTTAATTGCAAGATTGGTCACTCGAATTGCTATAAAATTTCACATTTGCCACTCAAATTAATTTATTCCATTTATAGTCACTCGAATTAGTTGAACAGTTCAAGTTTGGTCACTCTCCGTTAACCTCCGTTAACTTTGACTGACGTGGCGGTCAACTCTGACCGTTGACCGTTAAATGTGTGACGTGGCAAATAAAAAATAATTAAAAAATAAAAATTAAATTTTTAGAAATTACACATCATTATAAAAATAATTATAATTATAAAAAATGAAAAAAAAGATACAGCAATGTGTACACCAGATTCAGATTCAAAACGGAAAAGCAAGTGGGCATTCAGGATATGGGGGATTTGATGACATGATTAAAGAGAAGATAAGCTATTCATCTGAACTGTCAAGAAAGACACAGGAAACTTGCAAATGAGACCCAAATAACCAAAAGCTGGTGTTACGGTTCCTAAACAACAAATCAAAACTAAACCCCCTGAAGATGGATCTATGGATGAGGGAGATCTGGTGATTTGGCACGGTGGCAAGATGATGAACTAGCAGAACTTGGTGCAGAAACAATGCCGGCGGGGACGGGAGAAGGGTTTGGTGCAGCGGCCGCCGGAGAAGCCCTCGTCGCGGCACACCATAGCACAGTTGTGGTCTCTGCGGCAACCCCCTTTGAAATAACGGCTCTGAGTCGCACAAACCTTCACCCTCGCCTCTGCCACCTTCACCATTCCTGCCTCTTCATCTGTTCCAGTTCATTCCAAACAATTCATATCATCACATGGTTGGGACGAAGGAAGATCAATGAGAGAGAGAGAGATTGTGAGCGCAAAGAATGTAATAGTCCAAATTAGAAGACTCACGGGAAACCATGAAAATGAGCAGGAGCAGGACGAACAGAGAACCGGTTCAGTTTTTTTAATGATGTGTAATTTCTAAAAATTTAATTTTTATTTTTTAATTATTTTTTATTTGCCACGTCACACATTTAACGGTCAACGGTCAGAGTTGACCGCCACGTCAGTCAAAGTTAACGGAGGTTAACGGAGAGTGACCAAACTTGAACTGTTCAACTAATTCGAGTGACTATAAATGGAATAAATTAATTTGAGTGGCAAACATGAAATTTTATAGCAATTCGAGTGACCAATCTTGCAATTAAGCCTAAACCAAATCACAGTATTCAAATGGTTACTGTGATAATAATCAAACCAATTGAGTCTAAATTTTATTAACCATGGAATAAAATGTCTCAATTAAACTGTCCAAATTAACATGAAAACCAAATTAACCAAACCAAAGGTTTGGTTAATCGGATTAACCAAACCAAAGGTTTGGTTAATCGGATTAACCAAATAACATAACATTACATGAAAACAATTATCAAGTTAATGCATAAAACATAACCATATGTTATTACTATCATAAACAATCATTATATATAAGCAATAATAATAAGACTAACCATCCATGATTATCATCATCATTCGAGTTAATACATCATTCATCATCTTTGCCCCTAATATAGTTAGCTTACAACAAACCCTTAACATAAATATTAAATATATACCAATACCATTCATCAAGAAGTTAAAGCTCTCCTACAAAACACTTAAACTATACATAATTTGAGGTGGCTGTCATGTTATTGTACATAATCTTAAAGTCTAGTAGCTATCCAAAATGTTTTGGTTTAATAAATAGACAGACCCATTTAATTTTTGACTCATAATGCTTTGGTTGCATGTAAGTATAAATAATTTTGTATATTAGGTGTATCATTAATTGGTTAATTGGTTTCATTGGTTAGCAGTGTTGAAACCAAACCAAACCACCTAAACCAAATAAACGAAATTGTTTAACCAAACCAAACCAATTATCCAATCAACCAAACCAAATTAACCGAATGTTACCGGTTAATATGGTTACTATGGTAACCAATCCATTTGAACACCCCTACACACATGATAGTACTATCTTTCCTCGTGCATGTGCGTCTTCCAATCCCTCGATCGATGTCGACAATTTCTCCACCTCAACAAAAACCCAAACAATCAACAACCCTTTTTCTCTCCGATGATTTCTCTCCGCCATCTGGCAAGGATTCCACCTCCTCGATCAAGTACTCTTTCAATTAATAAGGAAGATAAATTTGATGAAATCAAAGAACTTGAGCAAGGTATGAATTTGATCAACAATCTGGTTTTGACATTTTATCATATTTTTTCCCCGTTGAATCAGTTGATTTTATTCCAAGAAAAAACCGATACAACGAATCGAGATAATAATCCCGAGAGGAACACCAAACTAACTCCCAATGCTATCTGTAACTATGTATACTATATAACTACCAAATAATAGGAACCTATAGGTATCCCAATCCCACTAGCGCATCCCTGATCCCTCTGTTCCCACAAGAGATAAACAACAGATTCGTTCTAATAAACTCGGCAACCTGTTCTGGGGAACGACTAGGAGATCCATGAGTCACTCCACATCGCTCCTTCCAGATAAATGTCAGTAACAAACACCAAATCAGGGCATGCCATTCTCTTGTTCGAGCATTGCCAACCTGGATCATTGAGCTTACCATTGCCTCCCAGTCTGAGTGCAGCAGGAGATGACACTTCAGTGCAGCAGCAAGACGACGTGAAAATGAGCAGTGAACAAAGAGATGGTCTCTGTTCTCAACTGCCAAACCACAAAGTGGGCAGGAAACATCCCTGATTTTACCCCACTTCTGCAACTTGTCCCTTGTAACAATGGCGTTTTTCATGATAAGCCAGACAATCAAGCTAAAGCGTGGAGGGCAATTCCTGCTCCAAACAAGATTATACCAAGAGACTTTAGGAGCCCTGTTTCTCAAGGTTTCCCATACCCTACGAACTGAGTAAACCGTCATCTCCTTTGATTCCCAGAAAATAGTGCCATTTTGCTTCTTCATCCAAGGGAAAATTACATCTCTCAATTTCAGAAGCTTCCTCCAGGCCCAGGAGCTACTATATTGCACTCGGAACGACCACAGAGTCCCAGAGTTCATTAGAAAAAGCCAGAGCAAACGAATGGAGCATGCCTGATTCCAAGCACCCAAGTCTTTCACTCCCAACCCCCCTTCCTGTTTAGGAAGCGCAACATACTCCCATGCCACTTTTGCCTTAACCTCATCAATACCATGTCATAAGAATTGAGAACAGATCCTTTGAATCCTTTTTAGTGCTTGCTTAGGCAAAATAAACAACTGCATCCAATATTGAACTATGCCTAGGAGCACAGAATCCAGCAGTTGAAGCCTCCCGGCATAGGTGAGCTTTCTAGCACGCCATGACAGTTGAACTTTGCTAGCCCTCTTTCAGATAGCACACCCGGATGCCTAACATCTTCCTTCTAGTTGACAACCCAGGGCTAAAAAGCTCCTTCTTTACTTTAGCCCATCAGCCGGATCCTAGCTACCCTTCTGTAACCAAGAAGCCTTCTCAACCAGTAAATCAGTTTCAGTGGACGAGAGTTTGCCAGCCAAAAGAGGCAATCCCAGATACCTAACCGGCAAATTCCCCTCTTGAAAACCAATAAGAGCAAGGGCATTACTTTTGTACCGCACTGATTCACCACCAAAGTAGATTTCACATTTGGCTGGATTGCAATTAAGACCCGAGATCCTATAAAAGTGTTGCAGAACAGTTTTGACCTGCAGTATTGCCTGTGCAGAGCCTTTAGTAAAGATAAGAAGATCGTCAGCGAAACACAAGTGATTCAGGGCAACCTTCTTACATTGAGGATGGAATGGTAATCCCCCTGTAAGACAAGCTTCCTTCAACAGTTTAGACAATCCTTCCATAGCTATTGTAAAGAGATATGGTGATAAAGGATCACCCTGACGAACACCCTTCCTAGCACAAAAAAATCCACAGAGACTGCCATTTATATTGATGCTATAATGAGCAGTTTGCAAACAGCTCCTGATCCAGAGTAGAAATTTCTCAGGGAACCCCATAGTTTTCATCATGATGAATAAATACCTCCAGTTGACTGAGTCGAATGCCTTCATTATGTCTACTTTGATAGCACAACGAGATGAGAGACACTTTCTGTTATACCCACTTACTAACTCTTGAGCCAAAAGTATATTATCCATGATACTCCTTCCTTGAATAAATGCAGACTGGGAATTACTTATAATCAGAGGCATTTTCCCCCTAATTCTATTAGCCAGAATCTTAGCAATTATCTTGTATAGGAGGTTTATACAAGAAATAGGTCTAAAATTCCTAAGGGGTCGTTTGGATTGAGCATTTCTAAAATGAGGCAATTTGGTGTAAATGTCTCATTTTGTAAAATGAGACAATTGTATGGTATATTTGTTTCAAATTGCCTTGTTTGGCTTGTTATTTGAAATGAGGCAATTGAAATGATACATTTACCGGAAATACATTTTTGTCCTTGTTTTCTTACCCTCCACCTCCATCTTTTAGCACTACCCCTTGAGAAACAGAGCAAAGGAAAACAACCCAAGCCCAGGTAGAATTTTCCCCTGAATCAAAACTTAACTGAATCAAGACTTGACTGAATTGAAGCTACAGAAACAAATCTAATCCCTTTACAATGTAGCATCCAAAATCTGAACAGAATTGGCATGAATGAATTGAAAAACCTACGGGAAATAGGAAGAATATGGAATTACTGCTGCTCAGCAATAACAATGGTTCTTTGATAAGAAATTTTTTTGGTCGCATGGAGCAGATCAACCCGCCACCTACTTACATGCACAACTCCTAATTGATTTCCAAATATTTCAAATCACAAGCCCAATCAAGCAACGAACCCAAGTCATCTCTTTCCTCTCGCCGTTGGACTTCAATCTTCCTCTTTGTCGTCGGTCTTCTCCCTCCATCAGACGGGGTCTTCGTTTTCCCAAAGCTTACACAGAAACGAAAAAGAAAAAGAAGAAAAGAGAAAGGAAGCAGGCCCATACCGAAATCCTCAGCTTCATCACCGTCCACGTTCACGTTCCAATTTCACAAAATTGATTTTCCCCCTTCTCCACCCAGCCCAAACTCTCGGTCACCGGGATTGCATTGCAGCACCATCGTCGCTGTCCTCTATATCTGCATCACGGTCGCCATCAACAGAGAGCAAATCGAGCGAGTCAGCTGCGGTAGCTCACGGATCGGCGAAGGAGACTTCCGGCAGCCAGGAACCAGCCGACTCCAGATCTCCAGTAGCAGCGTCCGGATCGGGCAATTCATGAAGCTAGACCAAAACGAAATGGGTGAGTGAAGCAACATCATCGATGTTCCAAAAAATAAGAAAGAGAGAGATTGATCTTGTTTTTTATTAGCATAGAGATTGACCTTGTTATCACCGCTACAATAAAAAAGAAGAAAGAAAACCAGGGAGAGAGAGGAAAGGTTGTCCTGGGAAAGAGAGAGGAAGGGAAAAGCAAAGGTCACAATTGGAAAGGGGGCAAAATAACGCGTCAAAGCAGAATATCTGCCCCCCACCCAAGAATTTTAGATTGACCCATAACGAGTCAATTACAATTACCCCATGTCAAAATGTTTCGTTTTGTTTTTTGGGTGTCAAATGAGTCAATTTGGCCCAATTGTCTCATTTTGAGTCAATTGGGACAGATTGACCCATCAGAATGTGCCATCCAAACGACCCCTAAGGGAATCTGCATTTGGAACTTTGGGCAGCAAAGAAACCGTTGTGGAGTTAATACCACTAGGAAGAT